CCTCGAAGCTTCTCTGTAGGGTTGGGCCGCACGCCTCGCGGCCCCTTGTCGAAACGGTGGCGTCGCTCGGCGGGTCCTCAGCAATCGGTGGCGCAGTCGGGATTCGAACCCGGGCCGAGGCGGCCCCTCTCGCCGTGCGGCGCGCGGAGCGCTGTCCCCCGCCGCCGCTGCTGCTGCCTTGCGGCCCCGACCACATCCTCAAGGCGTCTCGTTGTCGTGTGACACCCCACCCATTGTATAGGCGCGGACCCTGGGCTCAGAGAACGGGGAGAGAAACTGTGTCCGAGGTCACCCCGCAAATTAGCGACAGAGCCAGCGTCCGAACTAGCTGGCTTTCCTCCTGACGCAGGGCATGTTCTGCTCCCCGACCGCGGGCAAGGGGCCTTTCTGAGGATGGTGTTCCCCACATCTCAGTCTGTCGCGTTGCACCTTGATGGCCGTGTACCACCTGTACTGCTGCTTGCCGAGCGTTCATTTTCCCAATTTAAGCTCTTTTTCTCCTTCTTAAATATATTCGTCTAAGGCGGAAACTTCAATCACAAACCGGACGATGAAAACCCAGTTATTTTTCTAATGCGTATTAAAATAAATAAATAAATACCTATTTATTAAAATAAACAGTGCGTCCTTGTTCCTCCTGAAATTATTCTGCGTTCCACACTTAGGGAAACGCTGCCCTAGGGGTATGGGGTACATTGTGGTCCTTGTGGCTTTCACTCTATGCACCGAATTTTTCCCGAAGGCGTAACAGGTTCTGTGAAATGCCCGGATCTCGGGAATAAGCATGTCATAAGCTTTTTCTTGTAAACTGTTCTCATTATTGACTTCTAATGTCAGTCCCAGGGAACCTGCAAGAACTGTCCACTCAGGTGCACCCGGTGTGCCGCCTCAGTTTTCTTATAGCACTGTGATGTGACAGCCACCTGACAGCTCATAAAAAGATGTTTCTGGAAACGCTGGTGGAGATCTTTTGAGGTTTGACAACTCTAGATTTAATGCTTCCTGGATGAGTCAGTCTGAGTGTGAAAACTTACTTTGTGTGGACTTTTGGGAACCAGTAAAGCCCAACAAACTTTGCATTGTGGATGCTATAAATCACTTGGCTGTTTGTTAACATCAGTTTCTTCCTTTATTCTGGTTTATTTGCCTTTCCTTCGGTGACAGCTCACCTGTCACCGAAACCTGTGACACAGTCTATTGACCTGAAACACAAAATGCTGATTTTCCTTGTAGAATGTACTAGAGAATTCACATTGCAAGGCTCAGTGGAAGAATTTTTTCTAGGTTCATGTTATTCCATGTTGTGTGTTTGTGAACACCACATGTTTAGACGAAGCACTGATGTATTAACTTATTTGCAAGTTAATAGTGTTTTCATAAACTCTGTTTATGTGAATGTAAGAATAGATTTAATTCATTGAAAGGAAATTCAGAGTAGTCAGCTCAGGCCATTTAAGTTTTCCTTCCACACCCTCCAAAGGCTGTGTGGAGAAAATCCCCCATGTAAAAACAAAACAACCATATTTCTTTTGGGGTTACGTTGGTATGATCACAATGTATTTTCTTCAGATTGCAAAGCAGCAGTCCTGTGTAGAGAAGAAATGAGAATTTGATTTTATCTAGGAGTCAGTTTCAGAACTTCAGCAAATGGAGCCTCATCTACCAGTGCTCAGAAGCTAAGAATAAACATCTTTTGGAAAGATTTGAGAAAAGTCTGATGAAAAAAGGTTTATTGATTTGAAACTTCATTTAAATAACCATTGCAAGCTGTCCATGTCTGTGGCCTGCAGATGGCAGTGCCTTTGTATAGTGTTTTTGCTACTGTAAGAAATATTGAAATTTAGTCGTGCATTTAAGAATGGGAAATTTTCAGTGGGAATATATTTAACTTTTTATTCCCTTTGGTTTACATTGTTCTCTTATTTTTGACTCCCCGCATGAAAATGAAACGTCCATTTCTAAACTCACTATTCCTCTTAATAGCAATGATAACAATGCATATGCATAGCACAGCTAGCATTGCATATGGTAAATATGAACTCAGTTGCTCCTGCCAGTCATTTTATAGGATAGGTAAACTGGTATCATTATTATATATTTTTTTGCCTATAAGGAAATAATGGCTCAGATTAGATTTCTTGCCCAAAATCACATATTTAGTAAAACATACCCAGATATTAGAGATAATTGATTTTGTGATCAAGCAAAATTGGGAAATGTTGAGGTACAGTGGTCTTTACTCTGGAACTTCTCAGAGGCATTTATATGTTCAAATGTGCAGTGTCTATATCCCAGAGGATTATGCCTAGACCACTATCCTCCCACAAACATCTTGAGGTAATAATGTTCACCAGGCCGGGCTTTGGTGGCTCAGCCTGTAATCCCAGCACTTTGGGAGGCCGAGGCGAGTGGATTACCTGAGCCCGTAGGTTCGAGACCAGCCTGGGCAACTTGGCGAGACCTCATCTCTACAATAAATAAAAAATTAGCCGGGCGTGGTAGCGCACACGTGTAGTTCTGGCTACTTGGAAGGCTGAGGAGGAAAGGATCGCCAGAGCCTAAGATTACTATGTGTCTTTAAAACAAATGCTTTTAGAGCTCATTGTCAGTTTTTTTGTGCCAAAATATTTGTTCTGTGAACAGCATATGCCTTTATCTAGACTATTCTACTTAAGCAGTGTTAAAGTAAACTGTCAAGTAGTTAAAAGGGCAGTGACCAACCAGATTATCCCTCTACGTTACTCTCAATGAAAGGACCAGAGTAAGCCCACTGAAGCACGTTAGGGAAATATGAAGTATACCAACAGCTAAATATATAATACCAGCATGCCTGCTGCTTTTTAAATGGTGGTTTTATTGCCACCAGATATGAATTAGGGATGGCCATTTAAATTTTTTATCCTGCCACTTAAAAAAAAGATAATAGATCACTTGGACCTATTTTATGTTGAGAAAATAATTTCCTTCGTAAGAATCAGAACTTTCCCAGACCATAGTACACTTTTTTCTTTATTTCATGCTCAAAACATTATTGTTGGCTTCTATAAAGACCAAGGCTGTGCTCAGTGGCTCATGCCTATAATCTCAGCGCTTTGGGAGGCCTAGGCGGGAGGATCACTTTGAGAACAAGAGTTTGAGACCAGCCTGAGCAACATAGTGAGACCTCATCTCTACAAAAAAAAAAAAAAAAAAAAAAATCTCTTTTCAAGATCAAGTGACTTTAGGCACAGATCAGGGCAGCTTAAGTTGCATTAGAAAACAGTGTCTTATATCTTTAGTTCTGTAAAATATCTTAAATGGGACCTGGTTTGGATCTGGAATGATTGAATTACTGACAATTAGGTTAATCCTGCAGCTAGTGGGCAAGATTTGAGAATTTTGAGTTATGATTAATTTGGCTTTAAGTGAGAACATTTAATTATGCAATTGAAGATTGACATAGTAACATGTATTCAAGGTCAAAGATTATACAGGAAGTTTATTTTTAATCTCCCAGAATTATTTTTGATATCCAGAAGAAAAAATTAGGAAACCATGATTTTCAAAAAATTTTAAAACTTGCCATTATAAATGTATAACTGAAACTTTTGCAGCCTTTGGAAAACTTCCTTAGGGACAGCATTTATCAAAATCTGATCCCAAAGACATTCCATCGAAGTCACCAGTCACCACAGCTTGTCAGAAAGACAGATTATTGGATACAGTTTCCTATCCTTCACTCACAACTAACCAGTCTCTGAAAGTGGGATCCAGGGAATCTGCCCTTCAAAAACCACCCTGGAAGTTTTTATGTATATTAAAGTTTTATAACCCCTGATTTAATACTTTAGAAAATGAGTTTTTACTGGAAATAAATTGAAAAAGATTATTTTTTTGAGTTGAAGTCTCACTCTGTTGCCCAGGCTGGAATGCAGTGGCATGCTCACGGCCACCCCAGCATCAACCTGCTGGGTTCCGGCAATCTTTCTACCTCAGCCTTCCAAGTAGCTGGAACTATAGGTGAGCACTATTGCACCCAGCTAATTTTTTTTTTTTTTTTTAAATTGTAGAGGCGAGTACTCACCAAGTTGCCTGGACTGATCTCACACCTGCAGGCTCAGGCAATCCACTTGCCTCAGGCTCCCAAAGTGCTGGGATTACAGGCTGAGCCACTGAGCCCGGCCTGAAGAAGATTCTAATACTAATGTAGTCATATCCCCAGATTACTAATTGGAATTGACAACTCTGGTTTATGGTTGTTTACATTAATGGGTTCATTTTAGGGAAGACTTGAACTATAAAATGTTTTTGATGTCACAGTTTGAACTAGAGATAATGGGAGTAGTTAGAATGTCTATGGAGCTTTCACTGTTTTAATTCCTTTTATTCATATCAGTAGGATGCCTTCACCTTCTTGAGAACAAAGAAAGCAGATCTACTGAGATTCCATGGTCTGTTTATTAACTTTAGATTTGCCTCACTCTGCTTTTAATGGTGTGGATGTGAAATTATATTTTTCTCTTTTTGCAAAGAGTTTGCCATTTTTCTCTTTTTTGCAAAGAATTGCATTTAGAGAAAACAAAATGCCTCAAAGAAGCAGCAGGAGTGCTAGCCCCCACCAGCAAAACCATAGTGACACTCTGGTTTGCAGAATTTAGAGAGAACTTTAGTTAGCAGTTTGCCCTTCATTAGCCAAAGAAGTGAATAATATGCTATCAGAAAGCAACAAGTTCAGTGGTTAGTATTTTTCCTGACTTTTTATAACTAAATAATTAGAAAAAAGAGTTTAACTTTTCAGGATTTAAAAAAAACTATCAGATGAAATTGAAGAGAGTGATAT